GCCCTAACACATACCTTAACACTAACACATACTCTAACCCTAACTTGAATCCTAATTACTAACACATACAGGAACAATTACCCTAACTCTCAACCTTACAGGCACCCTTACATACACCCAAACATCTACTTCTTTAGTGTATTAACACATACCCTAACCTGTACCCTTAATATATACCCTAACACATACCTTAACCCTAACACACGGCCTAAGACTAACACAAACCAGCAGTGTACCATAAACCTTATTCTTATCATAATATACACCATAATATATACTCTAAACACTAACATGTATTGTAACGATTACTCTTACATGGACCCTGCCATGTACCACAAGAATACACTAATGTATGCCCCAACCATAACATAAACCTTAGCAGATACCCTAACATATACTCTAACCATAGCACACATTCTAATCACTATCACATACTCTAAATCTTACACCCATAACAAGTACCGTACACGTATACCAACACACATCCTAATATGTTGCCTAACCCAAACCATCAATGTAAACCTAACATGTACCCTAAATCTAACACATGCCCTAACAAATACTCTAACATGTACTTCAAGTCACGCATGTATTATATGTACAATAACATGTGTACCACAAATGCCCTAAAATGATTCCTAATGTACTCAAAACATTAACTCATATCCTAACAAGTACCTGAGCACATACTGTAAACCACACAAGTACCTTTACAAATACTGTAACATGTACCCCAAAGTAATATAAATCCTAATATGTGTCTTAACTTTAACACATGTCTTAACCCTATCAGCTTCTCCAATAGTATTTTCACTCTAACACACTAAACATGCTCCAGACACTAACACACATGGTAACAAGTACCTTAACATATACTCTATAACCCACACAGGTAACCCTTACATGTACCCTGAATGTACACTAACATACTCTAACCAAAACAAAAACCCTGACCTTAACAGATAAAATAACATGTACCCTAACCACCTATACATACTGTCAAAAGTACCCTAATACATACTCTAAAATGTACAAGTACCCATACATATACCCTTACATGTACCTCACATATGTACTAACCCCAAGCTGTACCTTAATCCTAACATGTACTTTAACATGCACCCTAATATACCCTAACACTACTCTAATCCACACAGATATCCTTATATACACCTAACATGTACTCTACCACATAGCCTAATGTGTGCCCAAACCCTAACATGTGCCTTAACAATTCCCCTATGAAGTATGCTTACCCATACCATAACTTGTGCCCTAACACATACCTAACAGGTGCCCTAACCCTAATACATACTATTAACACTAATAAATTCCTATCAAGTACCCTAACCATTACACATACCCTAACATATGCCCTAACACATACCATCACCCAAACAAAACCTGTTTAAGGTGGACCAAAGTTTCCAGAGAAACATAGCATGCAATCCCCAACCATATCCTCACATGGAAGGTGCGTCAACAGAGTGAAAGCACAGATGACCATTCATTCGAATCTCCTGTCTCACCCAAAGTTAGGCCTAGCAGGACCCACACCTTCAAGCACAACAGGGCAAGGACTCTGAGTAAAACCCCATGACTGCTGAAGGCCATTGGACTGACTGGACACACACTGTAAATCTACAGGTCTGGAATCATGAACACCAACAAGTACTTCAAACATGCCCTAACTCTAACCCAAATAATAACCTTAAGAGATACCCTAACACATGTGACAATCTAACACATTCCTGAACAGTAACATATGCCCTAACATGTACTCAAACCCTAACAACTACCTGGACATGTACTGTCCACACAAGTATCCTTACATGCACACTAACATGTACCCCTAAATGTACTCCAACACTAACAGACAGCTTAAACCTAAAACATACCCTAATGTGTACTTTAACACAGAACCCTAACATCTATCCTAGCAAATACCCTAATCACTAAGACATACAGTAACAATTACCCAACCACATGCTCTAAACCATACAGGTACCCTTACATGCACCTTAATATGTATCACCGATGTACCTTAATACATACCCTAAAACACACCCTCATCCAAAGCCTAACATACATACCCTACTACAAACCTTACCACATACTCTAACACGTAACCTAACAAGTGCCATAACGCTAATACATACCATAAACATGTACTCTAAACATTAACAATTATCCCAACTGGTACCCCAACATGAACTCTAACTCTGCAAGGACCTTACATGTTTCCTAACTTGTGCCCTAATATAAGTCACTAACATGTATTCATATACCTTAATATACCCTAACAGGTGTGCTAACCTTAACCAAAACAATAACTCTAACCCACACCCTACCATGTGCCTTAACTCTACCATACAGTCTAACCTGTACCCAAACACATACTCAAAGTATTAACAGCCTAACAAGAACACTAACATGTACTCTTAAACATACATGTACCCTAATATGAACCCTAGCAAGTACTCTAAACACTAATGCGCCCTAGCAAGTACCCTAACAAGTACTCTAAACCATGCAGGTACTCTTACATGTACCCCAAATAAACCCTCATACCCTAATACATGCCTACCCTAATGCATATCCTAACATGTTCTAAACACTACCATATACCATAGCAAGTACCCTCATCTATATTCTGAACAAGCACATTACCCTAACATATACCCTAAGCCAAAGTCTAACCATATACCCAAACCATAATGTGTGTGCTAAGATGTACCCTAACACTACCATGTGCTCCAAACTTTACATGCACCCTAACAAGTACCCAGACATATACATTAACATATACTCTAACAAATATCCTGACATATCCTAACCACAACACATATCTTGACCACTATCACGTACTGTACTTCACACGCACCCTAACAAGTACCTCATATTTACAGAACCATACCAACCTCACGGCTTAATCCTAAACTGTACCCTCATACATGCCCTAACCCTAACACGTAACTTAACACTAACACATAGCCTCACTCTTCACATATATCCTAACACGTACCTTAACCACCAACATGTATATCAACAAGTACCTGAACAAGTACTCTAAACCTAACATGCACTCTAACGTGTCCCCTAATGTACCCTAATGCATATCCGAACACATGCCCTAACCTTAACTCAAATCCTAACATATTCTCTAACACATACCCTAACCCTAACACGTATCCTAACACATATCCTAACATGTACTCTAAATCCTAACATATAAGGTAAAAAGTATGCTAACACATCCTCTAAACCGTACTCTTACATGCACCCTAACACATACCATAACACATTCATGTCCTAACCCTAACATGTATTCTAACCACTAACATGGATGATAACAAGTACTCTAACATAGTCAGTAACCTAACATGAACCCTAAATATACCCATAACATCAAAAACACTACAATTGAAATCTAACCTCAATCATACCAACCTTAAAAACAGTATCCCTAACAACCCTAAACATTAACATCACCCCTGACCACTGACAATCCTATTCCTTTACCCTATTTCTCAACAACCCAAGTGCTTAACCCTATTCCTCCTCTAGCTATGGGTGATGGGTTAGGGATGCTGAATGTATTAGACACACAGGTATTCTATGGCTCTGAGTTGGCAAATGGCTTGGGGTTAAGCCTAAGATTGGTGAGTAGCTTAGAGTACATGTTAAGGGTACAGGCACCCTAAGCAAAACTTGATCCTACCATTAACATCAACAACCCTATACTTGATCCCTAACCCAAACTAGACCAATCCTAACAACAGTAGCCCTAGTAACTTTAGCCCCTACTGTCACCACCCCAGACTCCTGGAAACCAAATTCCTTAACCTAATCCCAACCCCACCCACACCTTGATACTTACCAGACTTACCTGCATCCTTGGAGGTGATGGCCTTCTTTCATCAAACCTGCTTAAGCTGGGTCCAATTTCCACACAGAGATACATAGCACTCAATCCCCACCCATACCGTCACATGTGTACGCATGGCAGGTGTGTAAACAGAGTGAAAGCACAGCTGACTGCTCATTCCAGTCTCCTTAACATATACCCTAACATGTACTCTAACAAGCACCCTGACACATACTCTAAAAAACTGTAAGCCTAACACACATCCAAACATGTACTCTAATACAAGCTCTAAACACTTACATGTATCCTACAAGTACTCTAACATGTACTTCAAGTTTTACCTGTACCCTGAAGTGTGCACAACACATGTAACCTTACATATACCCCCAATGTATAAGTACCCAAACACGTACTCTATAAACCTAACCTTAGCCTGACCCTTCCATAATCCAAATGCTAATCCCTTCCATAACTCCTAACTTCACCACATCCCTAACCCATTCTCTAACCAATCCATTATCTACGGTAACATTGACCCTAACACTAACTTAGCTCTTCATACAAACCTGCTCTGTTTGGCTAATCGAAAACCCAGCTCCTGATCTAACCTAGTTCTGATCCATAAGAAAAAATTTAATTCTAACTTCCACCCTGAGTAGCCCTAAAACACCCAAACTTAACCCTGCCCTTAGCATCAACAACCCTACACCTATAACCAATTCCTCAACAATTCTTCCATAACCTTATGCCTCTCATAGCTTTGGGAAGTTGGTCAAAGCTCCTGGGGCTCCGGGGGAGGGTCGGGGTCACCAGCATGGGGTCCGGCCCCTGTCTGCACGTTGGGAACCCTGCAGTAGCCCTGCAATAGCTCCCCAGTCCCGCCCTGCTCTTGAAGCGCCGCAGGCTCCGCCCTGCTCCCCACAGGCCCCGCCCTGCTCCTGCAAAGCAGTGCTGGCTCCGCCCCACTCCCCACAGGCCCCGCCCTGGTCCAGCAGAGCCCTGCAGGCCCCGCCCTGCTCCTGCACACCCAGAAGACCCCGCCCCGCTCTGCAGGCCCCGCCCTGATCCGGCAGAGCCCTGCAGGCCCCGCCCTGCTCCTGCACACCCAGAAGACCCCGCCCCCGCTTTGCAGGCCCCGCCCTGATCCGGCAGAGCCCCGCAGGCCCCGCCCTGCTCCTGCACAGCGCTGCTGCCTCCGCCCTGCTCCCCACAGGCCCCGCCCTGGTCCGGCAGAGCCCCGCAGGCCCCGCCCTGCTCCTGCACAGCCAGAAGACCCCGCCCCTCTCTGCAGGCCACGCCCTGGTCCCTGCAGAGGCCCCGCCCGCCCTACGCCGAGAGGCGACCCAGCAGCAGGCAGCTGACCAACTGTGGCGGGCCAGCGCTGCAGGATGCGTCGGTGATGGTCCTGGGAGTCCGTAGCCCAGGGCCAATCTCGGGAGAAGAGTGACAGAGGGGGAGGAGGAGGGGTTAAGGCGAGCGCCCGTGGGCGGGGCCAGCGGGGTGGGCTGCGGGGCGGGGCCGGGATTTCCCGCCAACACCCCCTCCGTGGTGGCGGTGCTTGTGAGGCTTGGAGGCGTGGGTGTGGCACGTGGGCAGGGCCTGGATTTCCTGTGGGGCGGGGCCAGGGGAGGGGCCTGAGAGGGGCGGGGCTGCGGGAGGGGAGGGGCTGCAGGGAGAGGCGGGGCTAGGGCTTCCCGGGCGCGGTGGCCCGGGCAGTGCAGCGGCAGTGGCGGGAAGGCCAGGGCCCACCGGCGGAGCACTGGACAGGAAAAAAGAGAAAAGAAAAGCACAAAAAGTTCCGAACCCGCGTGATCCGACCCCGTACCGGAACTCAGCACACCTGTGGGGGGGAGGGAGGGAGGAGTCCGTGTCTGTGCAGGGGTGAGGGGAGGGGTACTGGGGTCAGGAGGAGGGTTCAAGTCGAAGAGGGTTCAGGTGGAAGAGGGTTCAGGTGGAGGAGGGGTCAGGTGGAGGAGGGGTCAGGAGATGGGATCAGGAGGAAGGGTCAGGTAGAGGAGGGATCAAGTGGAGGATGAGCTCAGGTGGAAGAGGGTTCAGGTGGAGTGGGTCAGAGAAAGGTCAGGAGTGAGGTTCAGATGGATAGGGGAAGGTAGATGGGGGCAGGGTCCTCTCCTCTGAGCCCAGAGACATTTGGGGACAGGGACGAGTGGCCTTGCTGTGGTCAGAACTTGAGGACAAGAGACCAGGCGGGGCCGAGATCAAAGGCGGCAGCAGAGATGCCTCCTAGACCTGGGGTCAGGGTCTCCTGGGGGTCAGGATCTCCGGGAGGTCAGAGTCTCCTAGATAGACCTGGGGACCCAGGTCTCCTGGAGGTCGGGGCTCCTAGGGGTCAGAGTCTCCTAGACCTGGGTACAGGGGCTCCTGAGGGTCAGGGTCTCAGACCTGGGGACAGGGTCTCTTGGGTGTCAGGATCTCCTAGACCTGGAGTCAGTGTCTCTTGGGGGTCAGGGTCTCCTAGATTTGGGGACAAGGTCTCTTAAGGGTCAGGGTCTTCTAGTCCTGGGAACAGGGTCTCCTGAGGGACATGGTCTCCTAGACCTGGGTTCAGGGTCTCCTAGGGAACATGGTCTCATAGACTGGGGGTAAAGGATCTCCTGGGGGTCAGGGTTTCCTAGACCTGGGGACAGGGCCTCCTAGGGGTCAGGGCCTCCTAGACCTGGACAGGGTCTCCTAGACTTGGGGGGTCAGTGTCTCCTGGGGGTCAGGGTCTCCTACACCTGGGTTCAGGGTCTTCTGGGGGGCATGGTCTCCTAGGCCTGGGGGGATTGGGGGTTAGAGTCTGGGATTTCATTAATGTCCACTGGTCCTCTTCAGGGGCTTGGTCCTGAGATCTGGAGTTGGTGTCTGCATAAAGGGCAGCAGAGAGTGAGGGTGGGGACAATGGGTGGCTGGAATGTGGCAAATTCCAAGACCTAGCCCTGTGCCTCAGGTCACCTAGCATTCTTCTTGGGTGACAGGAGCAGACACTGGGTGTGGCATGGGGGGGTACTGAGTGTCCCAGCAGTTGCTGAGTGCTGAGTGTACCCACGGTGGCTGAGTGTCCCCACACAGGCCTGAGTGCTGAGTGTACCCACGGTGGCTGGGTGCTGAGAGTCCCCACACAGGCCTGTGTGCTGAGTGTACCCACGGTGGCTGGGTGCTGAGAGTCCCCACACAGGCCTGTGTGCTGAGTGTACCCACGGTGGCTGAGTGCTGAGTGTCCCCACACAGGCCTGAGTGCTGAGTGTCCCCACGGTGGCTGAGTGTCCCCACACAGGCCTGAGTGGAGTGTACCCATGGTGACTGAGTGCTGAGTGTCCCCACACAGGCCTGTGTGCTGAGTGTACCCACAGTGGCTGAGTGCTGAGTGTCCCCACACAGGCCTGAGTGCTGAGTGTCCCCATGGTGGCTGAGTGTCCCCACACAGGCCTGAGTGGAGTGTACCCACGGTGACTGAGTGCTGAGTGTCCCCACACAGGCCTGTGTGCTGAGTGTACCCACAGTGACTGAGTGCTGAGTGTCCCCACACAGGCCTGTGTGCTGAGTGTACCCACAGTGACTGAGTGCTGAGTGTCCCCACGGTGGCTGAGTGCTGAGTGTCCCCACACAGGCCTGAGTGCTGAGTGTACCCACGGTGGCTGAGTGCTGAGTGTCCCCACACAGGCCTGTGTGCTGAGTGTACCCACGGTGGCTGAGTGTCCCCACAGTACTGAGTGCTGAGTGTCCCCACGGTGGCTGAGTGCTGAGTGTCCCCACACAGGCCTGTGTGCTGAGTGTCCCCACGGTGGCTGAGTGCTGAGTGTCCCCACAGTACTGAATGCTGAGTGTCACCACAGTGGCTGAGGGCTGAGTGTCCTCATGGTGGATGAGTGCTGAGTGTCCCCACGGTGGCTGAGTGTCCCCACACAGGCCTGTGTGCTGAGTGTACCCACGGTGGCTGAGTGCTGAGTGTCCTCACAGTGGCTGAGTGCTGAGTGTCCCCACAGTACTGAGGGCTGAGTGTACCCACAGTGGCTGAGTGCTGAGTGTCCCCACAGTACTGAGTGCTGAGTTTACCCACGGTGGCTGAGTGCTGAGTGTACCCACGGTGGCTGAGTGCTGAGTGTACTCACAGTGGCTGAGTGCTGAGTGTCCCCACAGTACTGAGGGCTGAGTGTCCTCACGGTGTCTGAGGGCTGTGTCCCCTATGTGGCTGAGTGCTGAGTGTCCCCACAGTGTGTCAGTTAGCACTTCTTCCCACCTGAGGGTGTTCTGGCCATACACACAGTCCTTTTCATGACCTAGGGTGTAGTATGGGCTGCTTTCCACCAGAGGGCTCACTCGGCAACTGAGCACAGTGCTTCTCTCCTCATGACCTAGGATGCAGTGTGTGCTACTTCCCACCAGAGGGCGTACTAGGTGTGCACTCATCAGGACCAGTGATGTAGCGAAGGCTGCTTCCCACCACAGAGTGCTCTTGTCATGCGCACAGTCCTCATCAGGACCTGGGGTGCAGTGAGGGCTGCTTCCCACCAGAGGGCATGCTAAGCAAGTGAGCAGCATGCTCCTCTCCTCTTGACCTGGGGTGCAGTGAGGGCTGCTTCCCACCAGAGGGCATGCTAAGCAAGTGAGCAGCATGCTCCTCTCCTCTTGACCTGGGGTGCAGTGAAGGCTGCTTCCCACCAGAGGGCATGCTAAGCAAGTGAGCAGCATGCTCCTCTCCTCTTGACCTGGGGTGCAGTGAGGGCTGCTTCCCACCAGAGGGCATGCTAAGCAAGTGAGCAGCATGCTCCTCTCCTCTTGACCTGGGGTGCAGTGAAGGCTGCTTCCCACTGCCCTGTGTGCAGTAGGACAGATGGGGGAAGGGGGGCAGTGACAGGGGGCATACCCCATGTGCAGAGGGATGGACAGATGGGGGTACAGGGGGGCAGTGGGAGCGTGCCCGGTGTGCAGCAGGAGGGGTCAGTAACAGGGGGCGTGCCCCGTGTGAATCCAGACTGGGGGGGGCAGTGACAGGGGGCGTGCCCCGTGTGAATCCAGACTGGGGGGAGGGCAGTGACAGGGGGCGTGCCCCGTGTGAATCCAGACTGGGGGGGGCAGTGACAGGGGGCGTGCCCCGTGTGAATCCAGACTGGGGGGGGGGGGCAGTGACAGGGGGCGTGCCCCGTGTGAATCCAGACTGGGGGGGGACAGTGACAGGGGGCGTGCCCCGTGTGAATCCAGACTGAGGAGGGGGGGGGGCAGTGACAGGGGGCGTGCCCCTGTGAATCCAGACTGGGGGGGGCAGTGACAGGGGGCGTGCCCCGTGTGAATCCAGACTGGGGGGGGGGGCAGTGACAGGGGGCGTGCCCCGTGTGAATCCAGACTGGGGGGGGCAGTGACAGGGGGGGTGCCCTGTGTGAATCCAGACTGGGGGGGGCAGTGACAGGGGGCGTGCCCCGTGTGAATCCAGACTGGGGGGGGGCAGTGACAGGGGGCACGCCCCGTGTGAATCCAGACTGGGGGGGGCAGTGACAGGGGGGGTGCCCTGTGTGAATCCAGACTGGGGGGGGCAGTGACAGGGGGCGTGCCCCGTGTGAATCCAGACTGGGGGGGGCAGTGACAGGGGGCGTGCCCCGTGTGAATCCAGACTGGGGGGGGCAGTGACAGGGGGGGTGCCCTGTGTGAATCCAGACTGGGGGGGGCAGTGACAGGGGGCGTGCCCCGTGTGAATCCAGACTGGGGGGGCAGTGACAGGGGGCGTGCCCCGTGTGAATCCAGACTGGGGGGGGACAGTGACAGGGGGCGTGCCCCGTGTGAATCCAGACTGGGGGGGGGCAGTGACAGGGGGCGTGCCCCGTGTGAATCCAGACTGGGGGGGGGCAGTGACAGGGGGCGTGCCCCGTGTGAATCCAGACTGGGGGGGCAGTGACAGGGGGCGTGCCCCGTGTGAATCCAGACTGGGGGGGCAGTGACAGGGGGCGTGCCCCTGTGAATCCAGACTGGGGGGGGCAGTGACAGGGGGTGTGCCCCGTGTGAATCCAGACTGGGGGGGCAGTGACAGGGGGCGTGCCCCGTGTGAATCCAGACTGGGGGGGGCAGTGACAGGGGGCGTGCCCCTGTGAATCCAGACTGGGGGGGGCAGTGACAGGGGGCGTGCCCCGTGTGAATCCAGACTGGGGGGGGCAGTGACAGGGGGCGTGCCCCGTGTGAATCCAGACTGGGGGGGGGGCAGTGACAGGGGGCGTGCCCCGTGTGAATCCAGACTGGGGGGGGGGGGCAGTGACAGGGGGCGTGCCCCGTGTGAATCCAGACTGGGGGGGGACAGTGACAGGGGGCGTGCCCCGTGTGAATCCAGACTGAGGAGGGGGGGGGGCAGTGACAGGGGGCGTGCCCCTGTGAATCCAGACTGGGGGGGGCAGTGACAGGGGGGGTGCCCTGTGTGAATCCAGACTGGGGGG